ACACTCAACTAAGCTGATATTGACAGGCAAGTTGCCATATTATTTCTTAAGCATTCCCGAATGTCAGCAGGTCTTTGACTTTGTGGTGTAAAAAATTCTATGTTCACTGCTGAATGTCTGCGTCCATTCCTTTTGACAGCTGTTTTGCCCAAATGTTGTTTTCTCTGCTCTAACCTAAGTGATGAAGTATGATCTTTTTATCAGTTGGATGAAATATCAAGAGTAAAGCTGAATTTTCTACTACTATTTTATACTATACTACCTTCTTTCTGTCTTGTTAGGTGTTGTAGGGAGTAAGTATTAAAGTAGGCAACAGAAAAGTGAGGCACAGCAGTGGCCTGTTTAAATACCTAGATTCCTAGAATTGTGAAGTACGCTCATGTTTGCAGTCCACATCGGTGGACTGTGATGTGATGGAGAGGAGTTACACATGCACAACTCCCTCTAAGATTAGATTAATTTCTTGCCCTTCCGTGGTGGCACCACCCTGAATCTGAACAACTAAACTATCACAGCTACAGCCCCTTTATCCTAGAGGTTGAAGTATAATAACATTCTGTACCTTTAACAGGAAATATGTGCAGACATCTACGATCTTCCTGATCTCAGACTGAGCTGTGTCAGCAAGAACAACTCCTTGAAATAGAGAGAATGCCCAAGTGTCCATGAGCACTAATTCTGTCTCCAGCTTTTAAGTGTCCAGAAAGTCCCATTTCCCAGCAGTGCTGTCCCTGAGTCTGACTTAATCAATATCCTTGTGTCTGGGCTGATTCTGAGTTTAGTCCAAGGGCCAAGATTCTCAATCTATAGCTTCCCAAGCCATTTTGATGTTCTTAGGCCAATAACTAATAATCTGGTGAAATTATCTAAATATTATGCTACAGCTCTGTGCAGAAACCAGGTGTGAAAATGTGAGCTTCATGTTTGTCAGTTTTCCCACCATCAATCATTTATTCAAACATTTAGCGAGGATTACTATTCATCATTAAAGATGATGTGCTAGAGATGATTAGGAAATAAGCAAGATGGTCTCTGCCCACAAGTTGCACATATTCTTAGATAAGAAAATTCATGGTCATTTCACATGGTAACAGGTGCAACTTTGAAGGAGCTCAAAAAGTGGTGTGACAACACCAAGGGCTGGAGCATGGAGGGCATCTAAGAGTACAGCTGGGAGGTGCAGGAAGATAGTCAATATGGTATGTAGAGATGGAGAAGGCTTCAGAAGGGAAATTAGGCCTACTTTGTACAACTCCAGAGGGTCTAGATGGGACCTGTGGTGAAATTACAGAATAGTATTAGGAGAGAGAAAGTTTAACCAACTTGACAAGGGTTTCTTAACCTCAGTGCTATTGACATTTTGGAATGGATCATTATTTGGCAGAGGAGGGTGATGGGGGGATGTCCTGTGAATTGTAGGATGTTCATCAACATCCTGGCCTCTACCTACCAGATGCCAGTTGTACCTACCCTCCCCCCACAACCAAAAATGTCTCCAGACAAATATCTCAAGGAGGTGAGGGCAAAATCACGCTTGATTGAGAACCTCTGGATGAAACCAATACCCTCATTTTACTAATGACAAAACTGAAACCAAGTTGAGAATAAATGCTTGCCCAGCTAGTTAGTGTCAGAGACATAAATAAAAGCCATCCTTCTGATCCCAGCTCTTCTCCTTTCCATAAACCAGAAGATGCATTAGGGATCTTTCAGACCTAAGTTTTGTGTCCTCTTCCAGCCTCTTCCTTGTTGTAGAGGATCTGCCTGCTGCTGTGTTTGCAGAAAAGGGTTAACAAGAATCCTGAGGTCAGCTTCTTTCACTGGGATGAAACCCTAGCATGTAATTTGTGAATATGGCAACATAGCATCACTCATAAAAAGCAGGACCTATGAAGGTGTTTGGAAACCAGAAGATACATCAGGTATCTTTCAGAACTAGAAAAAAATAATTTTATGCTTCGTATGGAACCAGAGAAGACCCCGTATAGCAAAAGCAATCCTAGGCAAAAAGAACAAAATGGGAGGCATCAATTTACCAGACTTCAAACTATACTACAAGGCTATAGTAACTAAAACAGCATGGTACTGGCACAAGAACAGAGACACAGACCAATGGAACAGAACTGACAACTCAGATATAAAACCATCCTCATAATCTTTGACAAAGTAGACAAAAACATACACTGGGGAAAAGAATTCTTATTCAATAAATGGTGCTGGGAAAACTGGATAGCCACATGTAGAAGCCTGAAACAGGATCTGCACCTTTTACCTCTCACAAAAATCAACTGATGGTGGATAACAGACTTAAACCTAAGGCATGAAACCATAAGAATGCTAGAAGAAAACTTTGGAAATACTCTTCTAGACATTGGCCTAGGCAAAGAATTTATGAAGAAGACCCCAAAGGCAATCACGGCAACAACAAAAGTAAATAAATGGGAACCGATCAAATTAAAAAGCTTCTGCACAGCCAAAGAAACTATCACAAGAGCAAACAACCTACAGAATGGGAGAAAATATTCTCATGCTACACATTTGATAAAGGACTGATAAATAGAATCTATTTAGAACTCAGGAAAATCAGCAAGAAAAAAATCGAACAACCCTATCAAAAAGTGGGCAAAGGACATGAACAGAAACTTTTCAAAAGAAGACAGAATAATGGCCAACAAACATATGAAAAAATGGCCTACAATTTAAATAAGACTTTAAAGAAAGTAATCGTTTTCTATTCCCACCCAATATTCGTGTGAGAATTTTGTTTTGCAATTGTCCAATAGGAATAAGAGAGAGTAGGATTGATGCCTTTAATACACTAGCAGCTTGGGAGGCTGCCATTCTCAGGTTTAAGAGTAGAAAGAGTTATGGGTATTTAGTTCTGCATACTCTAGAGTTGCCATGTGGAATAGAAGCCAAGAGTGGTAGGGATGCATCTGCCTCAAGATTAGTCAACTAGTTTTGATCACTGGTTGTGAGATACAGGCTGAAATGGAAGCCACCTCTTCATGGAAGAGGAACAGCAAAATCTAAAAGCTGACTTATGATTAAGATATCATCCTAGGTGCAACTTTTCCTAATCATAGATCCTAGTCAAGGTGTCAACCCAGGCCTCCCACGGGTACTTCAGCACAGCATCTCTATATGAGCCTTGTCTAGTCTCCCTCCTAGTTTACTGTCATCTAGGGTAACCCAGGCGCCTGGGCAAAAAACTAACATGCAATACACCCTTCCCAAGGTTGCCAGGTAGAGGAGCAACAACTAGCAGCAAAATCCTCTGAGGTCCCTCGGCCAACACCAAGGGATTTCTTGAGTGATTTTATATTGCCAGGTAGAGTTGGATAAATTTATCTATATGTGCTAACTTTATTATAGACACAGGTATAGCCTTACAGAAAAGTATGTATGATCATGTAAGATTTCCATTATTTCCTGGTTCTGTGGGTTGGAGAGCTGCATTCATGAAGGGAAATAATATTTTTAAATATATTACTTATTCCCAGACGCATAGGTCTAATCTACTCCAATCCCATTTTTTTTAAAAAAACATGTATTTTAAGAAAACAAAAAATATCTTAAAGTACTATTGTTGTAATAATACATTTAATTCAAAGAATGTCAAATACATGTATGATCCTAGAATCTAAGCACAGAGAAAACTGATGGGTCATAATGTAACAGAACAAGGGTTAATTGTATAATGAAAATTTCTTTATCTCCTATTAAACAAATCTCTCGTAATAACGAACATACCTGAGAACTTGGATTAGAGGAAGGAAGAGATGTTGTTAGAGAATTTCCTTTATGTACCTACAATCATAGGATGCCTGAAGCCAGTCACAAAGCTGAAATAATCATTGTGGTCATTTTAGATAAGCTGGGTTGAAGAAAACAGTTAGCAAAGGAAGTTAGGAAAGGAAAGGGTTGGAGCTGAAGGCAGAGGCCACCCATCACCCATCAAGGGTGCAGAGTGAGGTTTCTCCTACCCCTTCCCGTCCACCCGCTCTGCTGCCAGATGCCTTCTTCTCCCCTTGACTTTGCTGTGGCCTTCCTCTCCATTCTTTTCCTTCATCTTAACATGTGATGTCTTTGGCTTCAAATTTTTGTTTCTTCACATCATCTGGGATAGTAATATCCAGCCTGTGTGTTGGCCAGGAGAAGCAAGGGGAAAAGGGGAGGTGGAAGAGAAGGATGCTGCGGAAAACTGGCTGAGGAGGGAGGGTGGGTGCAGTGCTTGGGCCTCTTCCAGGAGAGGGACGGGAGATCTCAGGCCTTGGGCAGTGCAATCTAGAGCTTCTGTGTTTCAATTGTCATCTGTTAAGTTTTCACAGAAGGCAAAAACTTACAAGATCATTCATCTTTGATAAGAAACATTAACAGCCAGTTTTGTGAACTATTTACTATGTATATGTTATTACTGCACAACATAATAAATCATGTGGATTAGTAAATAACATTAGGTTGCCTTTGCTGTAGTGCATCTACTTCAATAATAGGGCATCTACTTTGCAACTGGTCGAGCTTAAACCATTAGAGGAAATGTTGGTCTGAGGACTCTGACCTCAACAGTTATTTCCTGGGCTTTAGTAGAAATTATAGTGATACAACATTCCAGAAAGTTATCTACTTGGAAAAAATAGAAGATTCCATGTTTTCTCATTCCTGGGTTTTTAATCCACTAAAAACAAAGAACTACATCAGGAACCCAAGGTTCCAAGCAACTCTCTGTCACTACCCAGCTGTTTCATCTTGGACTGTGGCTTCATCCCTATGAGCCTCACCATCCACTTCTGTGAAGAGACTTCTAGCATAAGGGTCTATTTTTCTAAATATTTCTTATAGTAAGTGAAAACCAAAGTTCTGAGTTGAACATTATAAGTCATAAGGGGATTTGTAAAATATCCTATGTTCTAGATCTGCCAATTATGGATTCTTGTTTGTGTAATAAATATGTAAGTGTGAGGTACTTAGCTAAATAAAAGTATATGTTCTCATTGCAGATAAATAGGATTTCCAGTCCCTGGATGAAGTGCTTGGGAAGTCTTTAAATGTCATTCTCAACTGCCATTTCAAAGAAAAGAAAATAGATGGTTTTGGAAAGTTCATGCTGTTTCTTCATTGAATTTTAGGTGAGTGTGTTTAAGACGAAGAATTTAAGATGGACATTGAACTGTTTGCCTTCAAAGTGTTCTCCCCTTTGCATGAAAAGAAAATAAATTTAAATATTATTTTCACTTTTAGTGAGATGCCAGACAGTGAAAGACTTGGTCTCTGTACCTTGTGTTTATTTCTTGTTATTATTATCAGAAACCCTCTGAACTGTGAGGCCCCAAAATCTCATCCTGGTTTCTATTAAGCAAATGCCATAATACTTCATTCTATTCTAGAAGGTAACTCATTTTTTTAATATAGAAAATGTATATAATGTCACAGTAGTAAACCACAATGAGACAAAACCGTGTTTTAATGGAATAAACAAGAGGAAAATTTGATGGTGGTAATGGTCATTTAGTCACTAACAAGTCTATGTATGAGAGAGGGATAACTTTCCAGATGCTGCCTTTTGGAAAATTTTATATTGCTTAGAATTAAAAGCAGGACATGGTTAAGGTCAGGTGCACTAAAATTTTAAACTTCTATGTACAATTAAGCACACACACTCAAACTCACACACATTAAGCTTTATTTTGCCAGGCCATAAAATGGATGAATAAATATATTTTACATCATGATATGTAATTGCCCTTCCATGCTACAAAAGACAAGAGCCTAGAAATTGGTTCTTTAATATCAGTCTGAAATATGCCATTGTCATTTTTCAGCAGAACAGAGAGGAATGGAGAAATTGAGTGATGGCCATATTGAGGAAATTGTGTGGCTTTCCACTCCTCCTAAGTTCAATTTTCAAAGTGTGGTTTTATTATCTACTTTGAAGAAAGGTGATTTTCACTACACCAGAATATATACCTATATTTACAATTCTGAATAAAATAATGCAACTGACAGAGCATTGACCACTGTCTGAATCTAGTCTGAAAGTCAGAGATTCTTTCTTTATATTCTCATTAATTTCAAAATGAAGGTGAATAATTCTTCCATAACCTTAAGGGTGCATAAATCTGGTTTATTGAGATTGGATGTAGAACTAAAATGGTAATTTTATTTATTTACAAGTTGTTTGCTGAATGCAGTCCCAGGAGCTAAACTTAGTGCCTATCAAAAATACCAGTAAATCAATTTGCCTGCTGTAACAGTTACTCTAGAAGGGAAAATGAAAATGAAAAATTTATTTTCTGAACCCTTTAATTTCCAATTGTGCCAATTGTTCCTGTTTTTACTGTTGGGCCATTCCTTGCCCTGCCCCTTCTCTGTTTGCTCCATAGGGACTGACCCCATGGGCTGTGTTTTCCAGCCCCAGCCTTTCCTCCCTCCCACCCCTTGTCTTCAGCTTCCCCCAGTGACCTTGAACCCTGATCTCCAGTAACACCACCCCTTCCCTTTATCCCCTGAGAATTGTGGGTGGTAGTGTCTTTGGCTTCCTGAGGCTGCTACTTTTCAGTTTGATTCACTAGCCACAGTTTACCTTTCCAATTCTTCCATCATCTGTGTAACCATTTCTCTGGATTAAATTCTATCATTTTAAATACTTAGAATATATTCTCTTTTCTTAGTTGGATCCTAACTACTCCATCAGTGCTGCATTAATTTTTAAAATTTATTGAAAGAAAAGTGAACAGGAATTACATGCTTCTCCTTAGGAAAACAAAGGATTTCCATGAAATATGTAAATGTAAAGTTGGGTAGGTTTATTTTTTTTTTTTACTTCTAAAATACTTTATATTAAGACATTGAGATATAACACACATACACAAAAGGTCCCAAGTAAGTGTATAGCTCAGTGAATTTTCACAAAGTGTATACAACCAATCAGATCAGGAAGTAGAACATGACCAATGCCCCCAGAAGTCCTGCACATGCAACCTTCCAAGGCTCTCCTCTCACAGAAGAAACCACCATCCTAGCTTATCTGACCAGTAACTAGTTTTGCCTATTCTAGAACTTCATCCAATGGAATCATACAGTGTATCTTGTAGTACTGGATCATTCTGTTTTTTCTTTAATTAGTAAACTTTATTTTTTGGAGCAATTTTAGGTTCACAGAAAAACTGAGTGGAAAGTACAGAGTTTTCATATATCCCCTCACACACACAACCTCCCCCACCGTCAACATCCCCCACCAGAGTGGTACATTTGTTACAATCAATGAACCTACATTGACACATCATTATCACCCAAAGTCCATAGTTTACATTAGGGTTCACTTTTGCTGCTGTACATTCTATAGATTTTGACAAATGTAAAATGACATGTATCCACCACTGTAGTATTGTATAGAATAGTATCACTGCCCTAAAAAATCTTCTGTGCTCTATGTATTCATCCCTCCCTTCCCCCAACCCCTGGAAACCACTGATCTTTTTACTGTCTCCATAGTTTTACCTTTCCCAGAATGTCATATAATTGGAATCATATAGTATGATTTTCAGATTGGCTTCTTTCACTTAGTGATATACATGTAAGTTCCATCTGTGTCTTTTCGTGGCTTGACAGCTCATTTTGTTTTAGTGTTGAATAATATTCCATTGCCTGGATGTACCATGTTTTATCTCTTCACCTGCTGAAGGACATTTTGGTTGTTTCCAAGTTCAGACTATTATGAATAAAGCTGCTATAAATATCTGTGTTCAGGTTTTCGTGTGGACATAAGTTTTCAGTTCATTTGGGTAAATACCAAGGAGCATGATTGCTGGATCATATGGTGACAGTATGTTTAGTTTTGTAAGAAACTGCCAAACTGTCTACAAAAGCAGTTGTACCATTTTGCATTTTCACCAATATGAATGAGTGTCCTCTTGCTCCATATCTTCTCCAGCATTTGGTGTTGCCAGTGTTTTGGAATTTGGGCATTCTAATAGATGCGTACTTGTCATTTTAATTAGCAGTTCCCTAATGATGTTGAACCTCTTTTCGTATGCTTCCTTGCCATCTGTATATCTTCTGTGGTAAGGTATTGGTTCAGGCCTTTGATCCACTTTTTAATTGGGTTGTTTGTTTTCCTATTGTTGATTTTTAAAAATTCTTTGTATATTTTAGCTAACAGTCCTTCATCAGATTGTCTTTTGCAAATATTTTCTTTAATTTGTGGCTTGTCTTCTCATTCCCTTGGACAGTGGTTCTTTTGCTAACACTGAAAAAATTATAACTTTATATATTTAAAACCATATTCTAAGCTATACAGTATTGTAGCATTAATGTGTCGCTGTTAACAAAATTATTGTCAACTTTCCCATTTTACATATCAAATTAGCAGGAAGACTTTTTAAATTCTCACATAACATTCCAAATATGATTTTTACATTTTTAATATTCTCATTTCAGAAGCTGTGTAAGCACCATGTAAGAACTTCTTCTTTGGGCACCAGTCTCATTCTGGCATTCACATTTAAATCTAGAGCATCTGGTTCATTTTATCATTGATCTTTTTACCTACAGTTGAGGGATCTGAACTCTTATTTTTAGTAATGGTTGTTTGCTACTTGAAGATGTCTTATGATCTGAACATTTCACATTTCCTGTGATAAATACTCAATATATTGGAGAGCAATGTGATCAGGATGCCACTGTCTATCTTCCTTACAGCTAAACAATTCACCCTGTCTCAACAATTCCATTCACTCTAAAGAGCTTCCTTGGTATTAAAGTAGCTTTTCATTTAATCATTTTGGTACTTCACTTAGTTATTTTAAATGTAAGTGCCTTGCTATTTTCATTTCCTTCTCATTTATTTATGTAGACATTTCCCTTTTCAATCTTTTCTCAGAGGTCATCGCGACTGCTCATCTGTCCATTTTAATGTACTGTGGTTATACTCAAAAGGACATGGTGTCCCTTCTACCAACAATTTTCATCTATTCAACCAATGTTAATGTTGAACCTGAAGTGCTTAATTTAGAATCCTTTCGGACAATGTGCAAATGCCATCATGAGCAGAATTACTTGGACTCTTTCATTAATCCTAAAGTTGGAAGAAACAGGGATAAGCAACCTTATGATGTGGTTTAAAAGACAGTGAATAACTGAGGTTCCCAAAACAAGTCTTCTCCTTCGTTTGCTGTAGCTCTGAAAATTCTAATCATTAATATTTCTCTCCAGCTTATGGAAATCAGATTTTATAAATTTTTATTTAAAAAAACACCCTTGGGAAGAAAAATACATCCATTAATAATATATACTACATAACAAATAAGTCTAATAAATTAGCAAGGAAGAGATCCCCGAGGCAATGGTGCAAACACTCAGCTTTGGAAGGTTTGCTGCACATAAGTGGGAGGAGGCTACTGAAATAATCTCTTTGACTTTATAATGTTGCCTGGTGGGTCAAGGGAAATAGAAGACATCAAAGATAACCCAGGCCGAACGAATCTTAATGTCATCTTGGGGGAGAGGAGTAGGAAGAGTGGAAGTATTAGAACTAACACTAATGAACAACATTGTGATAGGAGATTTTAAATCACTGGTACCTAAATAGTGCAGGAAAGTGCTTTAAGCACGATGTAGTCTGCAGCACTTCTGCAGAGCCACGATGGATGATGTGAAAAGAATCAAATGTGTTTAGAGGTGGAAATCATCTCTTATCCGTCTTTGTATCCGTAAAAACTAGCACAGTGCTTGGCACACTGTAAACACTTTCTAAATAAAGGGTTGGTGAGTAAGTGCGAAGGCACAGGCAATGCTGGCTAATGCCTACTGAGTTCTTAGTTTATGCCAGGCATTGTTCTAGGTGCACAAATATTCCATCTCATGCTCAAACAGCCCTATGACATAGGCACTATTATTATCTACTTTTTTAAAGTTTAGGAAACTGGGGTCCAGAGATCTTGGTTAAGTACTTTAGGGGTGAAAATTAAATCCAAACAGTCTGGTTTCAGATTCTGAGCACTTAATTATTATGCTCCACTACCTCTTGTGTAAAATAATCACCAAGTAATTTTAAAACAGAGATGCAACATTTTTATTATTTAAAATGTCCTGTCATTCCAGAGCACACCTGTATTAAAAGATCTTGCCC